GGGGGTCCATGCCAAGCAGCCGAGTACAAGAGGTTGTAGCCATATAAAAGTAATTTTTATAAACTAGCATGATTTTTTTGGGTTTGACCGATCCATTCGCTCGTGGATACTGAGAAACACTGCTTTTATAACTATTTATACTCGTGCATACAACCAAGCTGCATGATTTTGTCCCGTTTAAATTGTAACATACATACGACCAAATCTCGAACATCTAGCCGTGCATACGTCCAAAACTCATGTACACCGGGAGGCAACGGACGGCTCCACTGAATGATGGGGCCTTCTCGGCGCCAACCAAAGAGTTCATGATTCTCTCCTCGTCTGACGAAGACAACGCTCATCACTGACAGCCCCGAGACAAGGCAACAAGGAGACCACCCGTGACCCGTCCCACTATGCCACTTCACCGCCTCTATTAATTTTTGGTCATGGGAAATATGTCCTCCTATGGACTAGAATCTACAATCTATACCATGTACTGTTCATGTAAGATAATCCTACGAACTGTGCAATCGAGTCTAAACAGAAATTTACAACGTCACTTAACGATGGAACTACACATACATTCAAACATCAATTCGGTGTCACAGCCATGCCAAACAAGAAACTCAGATCATTGGTGGAGAGCAAGTCTATGAATGATCATAGTATCTATATATCCGCAAGTCCTTATGGGAAGATGGTGGATTCCGCAGTTACTAGTACGCATGTCACTGCTGCCCCGGTAAAGTTGCTTCACCAATAATGTCGTCCAAGCGGTTTCTTCTGCCTCAGCTGAAGAAAAAGAAAACGCATAACATCACAGAATGAACATGTAAATTACTGCCAATGAGAAACTAATTTGAAGAGAGAAATTACGTCGCTGCTGCGGCCACACTTCTTCTTGCGGCAGTTGGTAGACCTCGGCGAGAGGCGTGCATAGCACCTAATTTCATCGAGAACGAACGAATCAATGGCGGAGCAATATGGCACTGAACCGATCGAGATTGGAAAACAATATATATATATATATATATATATATATATATATATATATATATATATAGGGCTATAGGCACGTACTTGCGGCAGATCATCTTGTTTTCATTGTAGCTGAGCGCAAGCGTTCGGAGGCCGGGATCGACGCATGCGTAGCCGGTCCGCTGGTAGCCGCCGCGGAGCCCGAGTGCGAGGTGCAGGGTCGACCCCTTGCCGATGCCGTAGTCGGCCAGGGTTCGCCGGCCATCCTCCTCCTCCTCTAGCTGCTTCCCGGCGAAGAGGACAGACGGTGGCTGATCGCCGTCGATTCCTGCCTTCCGCTGGATCTGGGCCTTGACGCTGTCCACCGTGTTGCTGCTCTCGACCTCAAGCGTGAGAGTCTCCCCGGTGACCGTCTTCACGAAGATCTGCATCGTCGTGGGCCGTCAAGGTGGCGGCGGTGTGATGTGCGTAGCGCTGCTCCGGAGACGGCGGCCGCTACGAAATACTCCTATATAGCGATCGATCGGAGGAAACGGAAACTCGGCCGCTACGGAACTGAGTATGCCACGGTAACGGAACATGTATGTGACCGGCACGGATATAGAGAGAGACATAATTCCAAACAAAATATCTCTACACTCTAATTAATTCATAAGTTCCTTCTGGCTAGATGCAAGTTCATGCTGCAAGTCGTAGATCATTCCATGCATTATCGTAGCAACCCAGTCTGTTACGATTTCCACCTTTGGGTAATTCGCTGCTCCCTAGTGCTACGTGTCCTGTTTATCGGAAGTCAATTGGCTGGGTCGAAACGAACGAAACAGCAACAATTGTTCATCGGGAGCCAACCGGCTAGATCGGAACGGCCAAAACCGCGTCATGTTGACCGGGAGCCAACCCGTTGGGTTGGAATGGCCGATACGGGGTCATGTTCATTGACCCACTCCCTCATTGGCTGGATTGTGGCGTACCGTAAAACGGCCGAAACGGGGATGCGTTCATCTAGCAGCAACCGACTACGGTCGAAACGGGGTCCTCTATTATTCATCCACCCCCAACTGCCTACGGCTTCCACACGGTCCTGTTTATCAACCCTCAACCGACCGGGGTGTGGCGTACCACGGCGCGTCCTCCTCAATCGATCGGGGTCATGTTCATCCAGCGCCAAGCTATCACGGGGTCCTGATCATTCGACCCCCACCACGGCATACACACGCGCAACATCAAGGGGGGCTGTTTATCCACGGCTAACCAACTGGCTCGGTCAACTCATCATGTCTCGCGCAAAAGGGGCTCGATGCAACTGGCAGCAGGTCTCAACTAGATTTACGTATCACGAGCGCGAACATGAGCAGCTCTTCGCAATCAGCCGTCACGTCATCGCCGCCTATTTTGGCTTATTTTTGCGGCGATGACGTAGACTCTTTGGACGACTAGGAATAAGATGGTGATAGAGAAGGTTTTCCCGAGGAAGGCGTCTGACTCCCTCTTCAAATTCCTTGCTTTCCTGCAGCACTGGCACCCGCTCTCGAGGTAGCGTGATCGTGACCGATTTGGATTGATGATGGATGCGCTCCTGGCTTCGGCGCGTCGACTATCTTTCTCGTAGTGCCGTTATGCGGACGCCACTAGGTGGCCTTTTCTTTCTATTTCTTTTATGCTTTCTTGGCTTGATTGTGCTGTGGCCCCAGCCGTTGTATGCTCAGTGCGGTTGAACTTAGATTGTATGGACCGTTGCTTTATTTATGAAGCGCGGCGAAAGCCTATTTCGATAGAACATGAGCAGCTTGGATTCCTAAGAATTTCAGATTTTTTGTATTTTTTAATTACTATTCACCGAGTGTTGATGAGCATGGGACCCATTTTGAATTATCAACATTTTTTGAAAAGGGACGCTTTATTACTTAAAAGGTTTAAGCATTAAACTCAGCCTCTGCATAACTAAGATGCACACAGCCACACAAAGTCCTCTGCAAGAACGAAAAATAGATAGGCGGAATACAAAGATAGAGTCTGTATAACGCCTAAAGCGGAGGTGGGCCAATCCTATGATCATGTTGCCACCCATGTTGGATAAAAGTATCCCTCGCCGTATCCTCCAATCGTGTACACACCTCCGTAAATAGGTCTCGATTCTCCACGCGTTGTAGAAAGGACCATAAACGAAGAGTCCCGGTACATCTGTAGATAACCTGCATTAGAGAAGTACTTTTATCGTTAAAAACCTTATCATTTCTACATAGCCAAAGCGACCAAATAACGGCTAGCGCTCCCACCCTAAGAAGAGTTCAAACATGTGATCAATCCCATGTAACCAGTTGCCAAATACATTGGCAACACTACAAGGAGGATACAAGCCAGAAGCTATCTGGATGACTGACCATATAGACCGAGCCAATTTGCACTGGAAGAATAAATGTTTTATTGTCTCATCATGATGACAAAAAATACATCGCGGACTTTCATGCCAATTCCTCTTGATAAGGTTATCTTTAGTAAGAATGACTCCGCGACGAAGATACCATGCAAATATTTTATTTTTAAGAGGTATCTTCATCTTTCAGATCTTCTTATTATTATCAACTGGCACATCAGACTGGATTAACGCTCTATACATAGACTCCACTGAGAATTTTCCATTCTCATGTAGGTTCCATCGAAATACATCAGACCATGTGACAATTGCACCGTGGACAACTGTTGAAGCAGGATGTACCACGATTGGAGTCTAGGTCCAACTAAATCTCTTCTGAATGTCACATTTGGCAGAAATGATTCCATTACAGTGGCAATAGTATCACCCTTGTGACGCACAATGTTGTATAGAGCCGGATATTGTTCCCGGAGTGTGGCATTTCCTAGCCGCTTGTCCTCCCAGAATCTAATTTCTGAGCCGTCCTTAATCCAGAAGGATCCATAGGAGAAGAAATATTTCTTCGTAGCCATTAGAACCCCCAAAAGTGAGAATCCCCAGGCTTCCAGTATACTTGGGATACCGCCTTGGAGCTCACATATTTCCTCCTCAGGAGGGTTTGCCATACACCATTTTCGGTCAGTAATTTAAACAACCATTTGCCAAGGAGGGCCCTATTCTTAACCTCAAGGTCATGAATGCCCAACCCACCTTGGTCTTTGGGACGACAAACCACACTCCATTTAGCCAGTCGATATTTCTTTCGCTCGCTATCTCCTTGCCAAAAGAATCTTGATCAAAAATAATCCAATCTATGTAAAACTCTTTTTGGCAACTGAAAGAAGGAAATCATATATAGTACCATATTACTTAGTACTGAGTTTATGAGGACCAATCTTCCACCTAGAGACAACAATTTACCTTTCCAACTGCTAAGTCTTTTTTGCAGCCTCTCCTCGACATGTTTCCATTCATCATTTGTGAGTCTCCGGTAATGTATCGCTATCCCCAAATATGTGATCGGAAACTGGCCCAACCCACATCCGAACAGTTCAACGTATAGGTGGGCCTCGTCTTGAGCCTCGCTAAAACAAAATAATTCACTTTTATGAAAGTTGATCTTCAGACCTGAGAGTTTCTCGAATACTGATAAAATTAATTTCAGATTTCTCGCTTTCTCGAGGTCATGATCCATGAAGAGAATCGTATCGTCGGCATATTGAAGTATAGAGAGACCACCATGAACTAGATGACTTACTACTCCATCAATTTGGCCATCAACCTTGGCACGCTCAATCATGACCACTAGCATATCCGCCACTATATTGAATAGCATGGGCGATACCGAGTCACCTTGTCGCAATCCCTTCTTTGTTTGGAAATAGTGTCCAACGTCATCATTGACCTTAATGGCAACACTACCTCCAGAAACGAAGCTATGGACCATAGCGCACCACTCTGCAAAAAATCCTTTCATTCTGAGAGTCTGTTGAAGAAATGGCCATTTGACTTTGTCATACGCTTTTTCAAAGTCTATTTTGAGTACCACCCCATTCAACTTTTTCCGATGTAATTCATGGACTGTTTCATGAAGGATAACAACTCCATCTAGGATGTTTCTTCCTTGCATAAAAGCAGTTTGTGAAGGACGAATCACATGTTCAGCAACCGAATTTAGCCTAATAGTCGCAACCTTCGTGAATATTTTAAAACTAACATTAAGGAGGCAAATAGGTCTATATTGTTGTATCCTTTCAGCCTCATTAACCTTAGGTAATAAAATAATCTCACCGAAGTTTAAGCGAAACAATTCCAGATGGCCAGCATGTAGGTCGCTAAACAAAAGTAGGAGATCCGACTTGATAACTTCCCAGAAGTTCTGGTAGAACTCAGCTGGAAAACCATCTGGACCCGGGGCTTTGTTGTGCTCCATTAGGAAAACCGCCTTTCTAACTTCCTCCTCGGAGTATGGGGCTGTTAGAAGGTCGTTTTCCTCATCAGAGACCTGGGGATGTCATTCGTTCGGGACTCATCCATTGAGAAGTTACCTTCCTCTGGGGCTCCGAACAGATTTTTATAATAATTAGTGATATAAGATTTAAGTTGCTCATGTCCCTCAATCATGCCCTCATCCTGTTGTAGGGAATGAATAATTTTCTTCCGGTGTCTGCCATTGGCAACTCCATGGAAAAATCTAGTATTCGAATCACCTTTCAGGATAAATTGAGAGTTACTATGTTGGTACCATTTGAGTTCCTCCTCACGCAGCATGCTAGCTATCTGTGCATTCGAATGACTCTTGATCTCGATGTCATGCTCAGATAGAGGTCTAACCTCTGCCAAGGCTTCTAATTCATCAATGATAGACGAAAGACGAAGCTTCTCCTTTTTGAGGATACCCGCAGTGTGCCTAGCCCAACCACTAAGGAACTTACGTAATGCATGAATTTTGTTGTTCCATTTGTGTATTGAGGTAAGCCCGGCAACCGGTTTATCCCACACCTTCTTGACCATGTCATGGAATCCATCCCGATGCAACCAACCCAGTTCAAACTTGAACTAGCGTCTGTGCTGCGGTCGTGGCAATCCAGTAGTTAAAAGGATGGGTGTGTGGTCTGAGATAGCCTCTATGCGAGGTAGAGCGCGTACAGAAACCATAGGGAATCTAGATTCCTAGTCGGTATCCATTAATACGCGATCTAGTTTCTCATATGTCGGTTCTGGAAGACTGTTCGCCCAAGTGAACTGTCTTCCAATCATGGAAACCTCTCGCAAATCTAGACTGTCTATGACAGCGTTGAAGAGGAAAGGCCAATGATTATCAAACCTACCTCGGCTTTTCTCATTTGGAAATCGTAGCAAATTAAAATCCCCACCGATAAGAATGGGGTAGGAATTCTCCTTCGCCAGATTAACCAATTCACGGAGAAAATCAGCCTTGAACTCATCCTGGGCTGCTCCATACACAGCGACGAGGGTCCATGTGAAGTTGTCAGCTTTGTTCTGGATATGGAGTTT